AAAAAAAAAAACAAACATGTTTTTAAAACAGTAATTATTAGGATTAACTGCTCAGCATCACCATCGCATCTTACCATACGGCTCCCTAACAGAAGCATACCACAGAAAAGGCTTACAAAGCAATCTCTTTAATAACCCCATTTGACACTGAAGCAAAACCTCACAATCTCACAAGAGCATTATCTAAACTGTACAAACTTTAACCTTGGTCTAGACATCAACAGCACATAATATATCTGCCAGTTTTTCAAAGACAACCTCCTTGATTTACTTTTTCCTATTTTCTTCCCTCACTGCAATGTGGGATGTAATTAAGATTTTTTTCACAATATTGGCTGCAATGCTTCCTGTTCTGAAAGTTGAACATTATCAATGATGTACAATAAGCACAAATTAGCATGAAAGACAAATGAAATTAAAATATTGCATTAAGACACAAAGACAATGGGAAAAAGAATTTTGGATGGAAAAAGGAAATGAAGACATCTACCATGATTCCACATGTCAGTACATACAGGACTCAGAAACCACTCTGGAAATCTCTATATTTTCATGTTCTATAGTACTTATAGTGACTCAGAACAAAAACTAATTAAGTAAACCAGTAGCTCCCAGTGGGGGTAACCCTAATCTTGAGGGTTGTTTGGAAAATGTATGGGAGCATCCTTATTTGTTAGGATGCCTGGGGAGAGACATGGGCACTGAGTGGCCAGGAACCAGAGATGCTGGACATCCCGCGTGGGATAGCTCCATACAATGAAGAATCAATTCTTCCAGGCGCCTAAGTGGCTCAGTCAGTTAAGTGTCCAGCTCTTCATTTCAGCTCAGGTCATGATCTCAGGATCGTGGGATCAAGCCCCACATCAGGGTCCACACTCAGTAGGGAATCTGCTTAAGGATTCTCTCTTCCCCTCCCTCTGCCCCTCCCATGGCTTGCAAACTCTCTCTTTCTAAAAAGTAATAAATAAATCTTAAAAAAAAAGAATCAATTATTCCAAATCCAAGATGACTTTTAAATATCCAATCAAACGTTCTATAGAGGGGACAAACTTGTTTCCAATTATCCAAGCCTGGAACTAAGCCTCCTTTCACATATAAAAACAAAGAGCTTGTTTTTACACAGCCTTGATAGCACTGAATTTTCTAGGTAATTCAAGGTAATTTTCTAGGTAATTCAATTTACAGAACTTTACCTAAATTTATTTAATATTCTATGAAAGCATATGACTGAAGGCAACACCACCTATGGTACTTGAGGTACCAATAACAACATATTTTCTGATCCTGAATTTTGTACTTCCCTTTCCAAATTGACTTTGCATAAATGCAAATATCTGACTTCTTAATTATGTCTTCAGGTCTACTCATGCCAGAGCATCTATGTACTAAAATATGTGTTATTTTCATTGTATTGAGCACTGGGTGTTATTTGT